TATCATCTTTACATTTAAACCTGAACTCCTGTTATCATCTTTACATTTAAAACTGAACTATTGTTATCATCTTCACATTTAGACCTGACCTTCTGTTACCATATTTACATTTAAACCTGAACTATTGTTATCATCTTCACATTTAGACCTGAACTCTTGTTATCATCTTTACATTTAGACCTGACCTCCTGTTATCATCTTCACATTTAGACCTGACCTTCTGTTGTCATCTTTACATTCAAACCTGACCTCCTCCTCCAGACAGCATCATGGTGGGGCTGACAGATGACCTCCCCATCCTGCTTGAAACTGGACTGGACTGTCCGTCTCTGTCTTTACTGTCATGTCTTTGCAGAGACCTGGAGTCACCTACAGAGACACAACAAGATAAAGACAGAAGAGTGAACTAAGATGACATAGAATCAATCTGCAAGACAAATAACCCCAAACAGAGACAGAGAACCAGCAGCTAGATGGTCTAAAGAATGAAACTTCAATGATTAAAGAACCTGTAAGATGAAAAATAATAAGAACTTAAAGAACTCTCCAGGTTCTTTCTCATAACATTGAATGCCCTTTGGAGATGAACTTCTCTGTAAAGTGTTTGAGTTCAGGAGGCTGCATATATATATATATATATATATATATATATAACAACATCAAACTAGAGCTTGATGGGTATTTACTTTACTCTTCTGTCGTCAATGTTTGTGTACATTACAGATACAGAAAACAGGCAGAATATTTCACTCTCTCATCAGTATAAATAATGAAACTGATTTGAAAATGAATGAGCGGATTCACTGTGAAAAGTGCTAACGATGGTCAAAATATCTTTGAAGTGCTGCAGCCTGCGAGAAAAGAAAAGTATTTTCTTCTTTCTAACTGTTCACCTCAAATGTGCTGTCATGTCTGAATAAAGCTACGTTCATGAAATAATCTCCACATCGCTGAATGACAAAGAGCTGCTGGCAGCAGAACAAAGTGCGGTTTTAGTGTTGCCGAATAATTGAGAAATAAATATTCTGGATTAATGCATGACATAAAACAAAATCATTGGTTGCTGCTTTTATTTATCGTTATTCTACAATTTGAGGTCAGTTTGAAATGGTGTTTTATTTGAACTTGGCTGAAGAGGCTGCTATGTGGGGATGGACGCTCACAATGTCAAGAGGAAAACAACAATATACCCAAACCCTTTGGAAATGAAAGTGGATCACGCAATTCTAAGTGGGGCTGATGGCCTATTCGCCCAATGCAATATTATTGGCTCTTTGCCAAATACTGTTGTCATCATTTGCCTGTAGCTGTAAGAAGTGAGTACTTTAGTAAGACAATAGGACGGATGCAGCCTCCCTCACTGATCTGTGGAGGATCACTGCTAGGACCTTGCCTGGTCATTGACTGAAAGGTGATCTGCCTTTTTTTGGTATCTCATTCTTTTGGTCACTACCCAAAGCTCATGGCCATAGCTGAGGGTCTGAACGAAGATGGACTGGTAAATCAAGAGCTTTGCCTTCCGGCTCAGCTCCTTCTTCACCACAACGGTCTGGTTCAACGCCTTTGTCACTGATGACACTGAACCGAACCTCCTGTCCATCTCACGTTCAATTTGGCCCTCACTGGGGATCAAGAGCCAGAGATACTTAAACACTCTGCCTTGGAGCAGTGACTCACTACCAAACCGGAGGGTGCAATCCACCGATTTCAGGCAGAGAACAAAGAACTCAGAATTCGAGTTCTGACACTCATCCTGATCTCTTCACACTCAGCTGTAAACTGCCTCAATGCTGCTGAAGGTCACATTCTGACGAAATTCTGAGGTCCCCAAACCGGACCCTCTCCTACCCCTGGCTGAGCCTTGAAATACTGGGTTTACTAGGTCTGTCCGGAAGCCTCCTCCACCATCTAATCCAACTCACAACCAGATGGTGATCAGTTGACAACTCTGCTCCTCTCTTCAACTGAGTGTCCAAGTCATACAGCCTCAGATGTCATGATACGACCACAAAGTCATTCATCGATCTTTGGCCGAGGGTGTTCTGGTACAGAGTACACTTCTGAACCACCCTATGCTCGAACATGGCCAATCACTGACAAGCAAAGAAGTCCAATCTGCCCTTAATGTAGTGTTCAGGGGGGGTTATCTATGTAAATAATAAACAATCACCTGTCCTTATATAGTGTTAAACTTTAGAGGGTGTAGGGCTGTATTTCTTTTTCTTCTTTCTAATTTTATTTGACCCTGTCTTTTATCTTTCTTGACTATATGTAAAGTCCAGGAACTCTCACTTTTTAAGACTTTGGACTATTTGAAAAATAGTGTTTTACGCAGTTTACTGATATAGTACATAAGTAGTATTTATTTAGGACTGAAGATTTACCCTCACCCTCCTCGCTATTTCAGCCTCCTGACCTTTTTTTCCAGCCCATGTCTAGCTGACGTAAGACTGATGTAAAATTGATAGACTGACTGTAGTAATGATGTAGTACAGATGTTGTTCAGATGTAACACTGACTGTTATTTATTGCCTTCGCCCTCCCTGTTATTCCTGCCTATTGATCCTGGCTTTACCACCTGTCTACTAGATGTAAAACTGGTTCTAAACTGTTGTAGTTCTGGAGTAGTCATAGTACTGTTAAAGAACTCATGTAGAACTGAATATTTACCTTCACTCCCTCTGCTTTTCCTGCCTCCTGTCACTTTCTTCATCACCTGTCTACCTGAGGTAAACAGGTTGTTGAGTTCATCCAATGGGCTTGTGGGCGTCTGTGACCTCATCGACACGTTCTGCATGGAGCCATGGGTGGAGGAGGAGTTACTCAGTTTAGCCCCGGCCTCCCCGGCCCTGTGTGAGGATGAGGAAGAGGAAGAGGAAGAGCGAGGCATACTTCCTCCTGCCATCAAAGCGTCATACGGTGGAGGTCTTTTCAGGGACAGGGGAGTCAAAGAGCGACCCATGCTGACCGGAGAAGGACATGCTGATTGGCTTCGGGGGTAACCATGCCCACTGTGGGCGGAGCCAGATGACTTGTAGAGGTTGGAGTGGAGAAGTGGAGCTGATGAGCGGCCGGAGGAGGTGATGGTGTTTGTGGAGGCCAGGTCCCGGTCCCGGTCTCGGTCTTGGTCTCGGTCCCGCTCTTTGTGATGATGGGTGGAGCTCTGAGGATATTCGACACCACCCGACTTGCTGTAGGAGGCATTATCCATCATGGGCAGCCGTGTGACCTCTAAAGGGGTGAGGGGTGACTCGTCAGAATTCGGGGAGCACTTAGCAGGGAGGGGGGGGAAGACGAGCAGCGGTGGGCGGTGAGTCAGGAGGTTGGGGAAAGGTGGAGGGATGTCGCAGAGAGAGCCACGGGACGTCCAGGCTTCAGGATCTATGATGGTGGAGTGAGCATCCTGCAGGAAGTCCTCCAACATTGGATACTTCATCTCCTCGTACACCGACTCACTCTGCTCGTCCTCCACATCTTCTTGACCTTTTAGCTCTCGCATGATGTTTCCCACCATCTCAATGTAGACGGGCTCCTCGTCGTCCGTGTCCCTCGATGCCTGACTCTGACTCTGGGATAAAGATTTATCCCATCGCAAGGAAGACTTCTTGTTGCCTTGGTTATGGATGTAAGATTCATCAAAGGAGGTGCTGAGCTGAGTGTTTGGGTTCCTTTTAGGTTTGGGTGGAGGCAGCTTCCTGTAGTCTTCACTATAGAGATGACATCGAGCTGCAGACAGACAGACAGTGATGTTAGAATCTGAAGCTTCATCACTTCTGAAAGAAAAATTCTTTAACATGGGACAGGTGTCATGTTTAACCAACAGGTGTCATGTTTAACCAACAGATGTCATGTTTAGCCAACAGGTGTCATGTTTAGCCAACAGCTGTCATGTTTAACCAACAGCTGTCATGTTTAACCAACAGGTGTCATGTTTAACCAACAGGTGTCATGTTTAACCAACAGGTGTCATGTTTAGTCGACAGGTGTCATGTGTTAACCGACAGGTGTCATGTGTTAACCGACAGGTGTCATGTGTTAACCAACAGGTGTCATGTGTTAACCTACAGGTGTCATGTGTTAACCAACAGGTGTCATGTGTTAACCAACAGGTGTCATGTTTAACCAACAGGTGTCATGTGTTAACCAACAGGTGTCATGTTTAACCAACAGGTGTCATTTTTAACCAACAGGTGTCATGCTTAGCCAACAGCTGTCATGTTTAACCAACAGGTGTCATGTGTTAACCAACAGGTGTCATGTTTAACCAACAGGCGTTATGTTTAGCCAACAGGTGTCATGTTTAGCCAACAGCTGTCATGTTTAACCAACAGGTGTCATGTGTTAAACAACAGGTGTCATGTGTTAAACAACAGGTGTCATGTTTAACCGACAGGTGTCATGTTTAACCGACAGGTGTCATGCTTAGTCGACAGGTGTCATGTTTAGCCGACAGGTGTCATGTTTAACCGACAGGTGTCATGTTTAACCGACAGGTGTCAGGTTTAACCGACAGGTGTCATGTGTTAACCAACAGGTGTCATGTTTAACCAACAGATGTCATGTGTTAACCAACAGGTGTCACGTGTTAACCAACAGGTGTCATGTGTTAACCAACAGGTGTCATGTGTTAACCAACAGGTGTCATGTTTAACCAACAGATGTCATGTTTAACCAACAGATGTCATGTTTAGCCAACAGGTGTCATGTGTTAAACAACAGGCGTTATGTTTA